TCAGACAGGTGTTCAGAGGTGGTCAGACAGGTGTTCAGACTGGTGTTCAGACAGGTGGTCAGACAGGTGGTCAGACAGGTGGTCAGACAGGTGTTCAGACTGGTGTTCAGACAGGTGGTCAGACAGGTGTTCAGACAGGTGGTCAGACAGGTGCTCAGAGGTGGTCCGACAGGTGGTCAGACATGGTCAGAGGTGAACAGGTTCTACAAAGTGAAACAGGAAGTAAAATGAACCACAAAATAAAACTTGAAACACTGAAGCAAAATTCAGAACCGGAGTCGAGACAAACTGGAAACAGAATAAAATCARTTTAATTCTAAAATAAACTAAAAGTTATGAACAAGAATTAAAATAATCTTCAGATTAAAATCAACAGCTTATGATATAAATGAGTATTTTTTTGGATAAACAGGTATTTATTTGTTCTTAATTCTAGTAAATAAATGTGAAAAGCAGCTACAACATTAGTAACTGAATGTTACACAAGAAAAGGAGCCAATCATGTATTTACCTCATCTGTCGGCCTGTTAGCAAAATATCTAATGAACCACTGGATGGATTTTTATGACTGAGTATTAGACCAACACAATGAGTTTTTTTTAAATATAATTACATGATTAAATATGTAATATTACAAGAATAAAGTCATAATATTATGATAAAAAATTTGTTCCATGATTTTTTCTCATTTCTTCCTCATTGTCCACCTGCTGTGGACAGCCACGTGTCTCTGTGTTTATACAGTAGTCTGATTACTTTTGGGTCACTGTTAGTGTAAAATGCTTCCATCCAAATTACATGAAGACTATAAAGACTAAAAACAGCTGCAGGAACATTCTGCTGCTAATTAAACCTAATTATTAAAGTTGTAATTATTTTATTAGAGTTTTATGTCAGTTGTTGGTCTAAAATAAAACCTGGCTGTATTTGGTCCCAGCCTCCCTGTTCTGCTCTGATGAAAGTGGAGAATGTAACGTCTGTGATGCCAGACTCAGCCTGASGTTCGGTCTAATTGCACTAAGCGCTCTGACGGACTTTTATTTTATTTTCCTGGTGCAGCAGCGTCCTCAGAGGAACTCTCCTTCATTTTCCTCCTCTTGGTTTTGACCTCTTTACCCTTGCCACCATCTTCTGTTCTGTCTGGGTTCTGCCACTCTGCACGCCTGCTGCTATTTTTATGTTTCTACATTAAGCAGGTAACTGGGGCAGAGATGAAGTCAGGTTTTTCCTTTCAGTAAAAACAATAACAGTGTAATCCTGAGACCTGTTGACAGTTTGTTAATAACATTTATCATTCCACAGGTAGTTGCTGCTCTTGTGTTCCAGGTTTATATGTTGTTTTGTTGTTGGATGATCCATATTTGATTTAAAAAACTTGAAAAATAAGATTCAAACAGTTTTAACAAGAATTTAAACCATTTTATTTATTAGATCATCCACAAGGTACGTTTATACAGAAGAGGATTGCATTCACCTAATAAAATTTTTTTTGACTCTGATCTCATAATTATGAGAAAATATCATAATTATGAGATAAGATGTCATAATTATGAGATCTTATCTCATAATTATGAGATCTTATC